AAAATAATATTCTACTATGCATATCTACTCATGTTGTCCTTGTTAAACCTCTTGTCACACCATTTATGAGTGAAGCTTTTCTGTCATTTCTAGGAGACATAAGCTAACAGCAGATTTTCTGCTTCTCTGGCTCTTACAGTCTCCCTGCTTCCACTTCTGAGACATCCCCTGAGCCTGAGGTGCAGGAGTAGTGTTGTAGATGTCTCCATTTGGGCAGGGTACCCAATGATCATTTGTTCCCTGCATTTTGACCAGTATGGTCAAATTTCTCTAACAGTCTTTGTGTAAAGAGACGCTTCTTTGATGAGACGTGAGAGCTACACTTAAGTGTGGGTATAAAGGTAAGTACTTACTGTGCCATTAGGAATGATCCTGGTTTAGTAAAGTAGAGGTCGTGGCATCACTAACCCCAGGGGGTTGCCAGGTTTCCAGTACCAGGCCTAATTTCCCTTGTGTTGAGCAGCCCTTAGGTCTAATTGGACAGCTGTAATTTAGTGCCAAGATATGAATGCCACGATTGCACCCTTATGGATATTTTGCTATGCCAGTCATTATTTCGTGGTTCATAAGTGTCACAGCTGGGCAGGACTATTGATTGTTTCCCTTCCTTGGCAGCTTGTGTTTTAATATGTTTCCTATGATTTTTTTAAAATAAAAACTCAGTGACTGAAAATCTTAGTGAGTTAAAATTTTATTACCACAAATCTGAGAAGGTACAACTTAGGTAAATTTTCTAAATGCTTTTAAAAAAATAACACTTAACACATTGAACAGTTATTTACCTTGTAATCTCCTGAAACCTTTACATACATGATCTTGCTTAATGCGACATCACAAGGCAGATGGATGCTTTTAATATAACCATCTCTCATTAGGGAAAAAAGGTTCAGGAACTTGTATTTGATCTAATTCCAAGTGTTTTCATCACTGTTCTATTGCTGTGAAGAGACACTTATGACCAAGTCTTACTAAAGAAATGTTTAATTAGAGGCTTGCTTACAGTTTCAGAGTTTAGTCCAGTTATCATCATGGCAGCATGCATTGTGTTGGAGCAGTAGCTGAAAGCTACATCCTGATCCACAGGCCAAGTGAGAAAACAGGGCCTAGCATGGACTTTTGAAACCTCAGATCCTACCCACAGTGGCACACTTTCTCCAACAAGGCCATACCTGCTCAAATAATACTACACTTCCTAGTCCTTCTCAAAGAGTTCTAGTCTTGATAACTAAGCATTCAGATATATGAACCTGTAGGGGTCATTCTTACTCACACCACCACAGCAAATAAAATGGTGTATGTGGGATTTGATTTTAGGAGTCTGTCTTTAATAAGCCTTGCTTTCAGTCACTAAGATGCTCTACTTGACTTGAACTGATAGAAGATTCTTTCACTATTCATTCCTTGTGCAGTGACATCTTGGTAATGTAGAGGAATAAAGAAAGTTTGGACTTTGTTTTAATGCCACTTAATTATGAGGCATTCATATAGAAGAGGAGGGCATCAGCCTAAACCCAGTTCCCAAAGAGAAGCTGTCATAAAAATCATGTCAATCCTGATTATCTGTTTGAATCTAGCTTAGCTACTTCTTTCTTCTTATTTTAATATTGAGAGTTCTATACAGTGTGTTCTGTTCTATACAGTTTATTTCCTCCATACATCCAGGTCCACTCCCCTTTTCTACCCACTCAACTTTGTGCTCTCCTTTTTTATTTTATTTTTCCCATCAAATCCAATTTGCGCTAGCTATATATTCTTGGCTGTGTGGCCTTCCACCAAAGCAGGGTTGAACAAGAGGCGATGCTCTTAAAGAAAACTAACTCTCCCTCTTCCAGCAGCTATCATTGGCAGTAGTTCCTCAGCCAGGGGTGGGACTTGGTGTCCACCTCCCCTCTTCATGCTAGTATTTGGTCTGACTTCAACTTTGATGTGCTTTGTGTATGTTGGCATAATTACTGTGAGTTCATATGTATAGCTACCTTTTTGTGTCTGGAGGGTATTGCTTCCGTGTATTTATTTATCAACCACCTCTGACTCTTACAGTCTTTTTTACCACTCTTTCACAATGATCCCTGAGCCTTGGAAGGAGAGGATTTGATATAGACGTCCCATTTAGGGCTGAGCATTCCTTAGTCTCTTATTCTCTGTACCTCGGTCTGTTGTATTGCAAATAGAAGCTTTTCTGATGAAGTCTGAGAGATGCGTTAATCTGTGCAAAGAACACTAAGTCACTAGGAGTCAGCTTCCTTCTGTGTTATTTAGCTGTTCTCCCTAGACCTGTGACCTGCTTGGCTGCAGATTCTTGGCCCTGTCATGGTGCTGGGTGTGGGTATCATGTTGTGCAGAGGGCTGTAAATACCATCAGAAAGTGGTGAGTTCTTCCATTGTGTTTGTGCCACTAGTGCATCAGGGCACAAGCCTTGCCAGCCTGTCATTTTAGCATACAGGGTTCCCAGGTGGGTGAGGTTGATGATTGCTTTTCTCCTCCAACCATAATTTAATGGTAAGACCCAATCAGCCTGGACCAGCAGGCTGTTCTTCAGTGGTAGGTCCTTGAAGGGTGGCCCTGGGATGAAAAAAATAAAGAAGACAGGAAAGTTGGGGTCAGGAGGTCTTGCATAAGCTGATGCCTTATGCCAAGCAAGTTTATTAAGAAGTATAGCATCTTACGTACAGTCTGCAGGGGGAAGAATGGGACAGAGTCCGCAGAAAGCTATTATACAGTGGGATGAGGTCATCAGGAAGCTAATCCAGCAATGTTGTTCAAAAGAAACTCAGGATATCTCAAGCGTGTCACAGACTAGCCCCTTTGGGGGAGGAATTAGGTTCCTAGGATCAGAAGTTGCTGCTCCCCCAAGGCCCTGGCCAAGCATATTACTGGTTTTAGACAAGGACCTACGTTCCTTCTCCATATATCAGGGCATCAGGAAAAGCATTGCATCACCCTGGCTCCCAGTCCTTATTGCTGAAGTCACTATATACTTGAGTCATAGAATAAGGAAAACTCAAGCTGATTCTGACCTGGAAGCTTCATCCCTTATGGTTAGCTTTCATACTGATGGAAGGTGCTACACATGCTACTGAAAGAAAAGTCAAAAGAAGAAAATTTCTTAGCTATTTCTTGTCAGTGACAGCCTCATTCCATAGGATATTAGAAGGAAAAGCTTATTTATGTCTAGGATTCTCCATAGCTCCATCCCAACTGTGGTGGTTTGAATGAGAATGGCTTCCATAGGCTCATATATGTGCATGCTTGGTCCCCAGTTGGTGGAACTGTTTTGGAAGAATTAGGAGGTGTGGCCTTTTTGTAGGAAGGGTGTCACTGGAGGAGGACTTTGAGGTTTCAAAGGCACATGCCAAGCTCAGTCTCTCTCTCTACCTCCTGCCTGTGAGTCAGATGTAAGCTCTCTCTCAGCTAAGGCTAATGCCTGCCTGCTGCTGTACTTCCCACCATGATGGCCAAGGGCTAGACCACTGAAACTATGAACAAGACCCCATGTAAGTGTTTTTTTGTAAATTGACTTGGCCCTGCTGGTGTTTCACAGCAATAGCAAAGTATCTGAGACACCAACACGTAGGAACCTTTAAAGTGCACAAGATTTACATATTTGAGAGGCTAGGTTTTTATTAAAGGCCAGAAAATAAAGCAGTCCAAAAAATGAAGAAAATAAATAAGCTTTGTAAGAGCTGTTTGTTTGAAATAACTAAAAGAACAGGAAGTAAGTCATTATGCATTTGCTTGGCCTTTCAAAGACTCATAACTAAATGTCCTCTACTGAATCAACTAATGAATACTACTTTGTGTGTTTCCCCTTAGAACCTATGAATGTTAACAATTCAAGTGAGCTCCCAAAAGTTCCACATTTCTTATGTTTTAGTTGTGAATATGACTACAGTCAATAAGATAAACTGCTTGTAGGATGTCCAGTGATAAGGGCTTTATATTGGGAACTCTGCTCTGATAGCATTATTCAAGACTCTCAAAGTAGTAGCTCAAACAAGATAAAAGCTTATTTTGCTGTCACATAAAAGAAACTTAAGCCAGGCATGGTGACACTTGTCCTTAATCCCAGTACTTGGTAGGCAGAGGCAGATGGACTTCTGTGATAAGACCAGCCTGGGCTACAATGGGAGTTCCAGGTCAGTCAAGGCTACATACAGTAAGACTTGTCTCAAAGAAAACAAAACAAACAAGCAAACAAAAACCGAGAGTCTGGCAATTTCATGCTTATCAAGGACCCCAGCTAGTTGTTTCATTGCTGTGTAGTGCCTTGCCACCCATTCATAGGGAGCCTCAAAGTGACTGTTCCTGTGCAAGCCTGGCATCCAGACAGGAAGTAGGAAGAAGACAAGAAAGGCAATTCCACTGTAAGCTGCTTCCCTGGAAATCCACCCCCTACTAACTATATTTTTATTAGCTAGGACATAAAGTCTTTATCAACAGCTACTTACAAGAAAGAGTAAGGCTACAGACTGGCTACCAGAATACAAACAGGCTCCTTTGGGGAGAAGAGGAAAGGTGGAATGCAGCCAGGAGCCATTCGTTATCTTGCCACCCCAAGAGACACTCATCGGGACTTGTTGGTTTAAGCTCTTAAGACCCAGACATCCCCAGCTGTCTGCAAAGCTGGGTAGTGGCACAGTTACCAGAAATCAGATTCGTGTTGACCTATATTAACCAGAAGGCTTACAGTTGCTTCTACTAATGATAAATTGGATAGAATTATATTAAATCAATCTAAGATTAATCTGAGTTTTTCTTGTATGTTTTCCTCAGCATCCTTCCTTTACCCTTTGGGTATTTTAGAATATTATTGCCTACATATTTGGTAAGGCTTTCCAACTATGGTAATTTTCTCTCTAGATACAAGTTATATCAGCTCTCCAAATGCTGTGATTAAAATTAAAACATTTAGTAGGTTATAGCATTTAACATTTGGTTTTGATATTAGTAGTTTTATAGCATTGATCTCTTTTTGTCTTTTCTAAATTTTCTCTTACAGTATAGCTGAAATACAAAAAGATGTAGAATACAGATTGCCATTCACAGTAAACAACCTGACAATTAACATTAATATGTAAGTAGAATTCTATTTTTTTTGTGTATTAGGTTTTAATTTTTGCTTTATGTCTTAATAGCCTGACAGTACTAATGTGTGAATAGAATTGTAATCTATATTTCATGTAATAGGAACTAACTTTTGTTTTGAATCTTAGTTAATATCAGACAGATGCTCTTTAAATGAACTTATTTAAAGTAACTATAACATAAAATAGTGCTCAGTTCAGTGAAATAAAATCTTTATGGCTCATTGTTTAGCACATGGACATAGGAGGCCTTATTAAATACTACTTCTGGACAAATCTAAGGATAGATATATAGCTTTGGCAAGCACTAAAGCACATTAACTTGACAAATATGAGCTTTATGAATCTACCTGGTAGCAGCCTTACAAATTAGGATATATTACAGACTCATAAATAAAGAGCTGGGACACAAACTCATTGGTTGGTTCCAAAGGCCGCTGTTGCCTCTTCTACAAACTAATTTAAAAATTTTGAGCTATAAAAACAAACAAACAAACAAAAAGCCCTTTAGCTATATAAATGAATTCATTTTATTTCCTATCCAATGTCCAGGTAGACATAGGTAGGAGAGTCCAACAAAATCCAGTTTTTGATAATGCTGTCAAGAAGTACTTTCTTTAACCAATATATGAGCAGAAAAGCTTAAAGGGAAATTTTCTGAGTTTTCAAAACTTAGAAAACAGAGTTCTGGATTTAATAAACTTCTATTAAAATATTTTATAAACTAATCTTAATTTTGTAGTACTTAGAAAAGGTTAAATTTTGCTGGGTGGTAGTGGCGCACACCTTTAATTTCAGCACTCGGGAGGCAGAGGCAGTTGGATCTCTGTGAGTTGGAGGCCAGCCTGGTCTACAGAGCGAGATCCAGGACAGGCTCCAAAGCTACACAGAGAAATCCTGTCTCAAAAAGCCAAAAGAAAAAAAAAAAGTTAAATTTTTTACTTTTTTGATTTATGAGATTTTTATTCTTACTGGGAACCACATGATTTTCCTTCAGCATGAGGAGAGGTGTTAGCACAGCATTTAGGAATTAGATAAACAAAGGCCCAATGACAAGTGTGGTAGTTCAGTCTTAGTTACTTACCTTCTTATCCCCTTTCTCTTTAGTAGTGTACGCATGCTGTCATTCTAGGCAGGACTTCACAGGAGAAACACACAGGCACACACAGAGCCAGAGCTACCATACACTAAATAGCCAGGTGGGGTTTTTGCATGATTTTCTGGATACAAGTGTACAATCTAATTTTTAGCTGAGATTTTTATTCAGCAGGTTATATTATCTTTGAAATCAGTTAGTTGACATACTAAAAAGACTATTATGTAATACATGGAGCCCATATTCCACATTAAAAAGAATCTATTGTATTGAATTACTGTGTTATCTTAGTGCCAAAATGTAGCCTTTTATATATTTTCAGTGTGCTCAATATCTATGATAAAGTACTTGTTACTAAAGAATTAATCCATATAAGTCAATGTGAAAGTTTAATTTGCTTTTAAATAACTTTGTTTTAAGATTATGGTCACATGATGTATTTTTTTTCATTTGTTTGTGTTTTTGTGTGTGTATGTTATTCCTTTACTAGATTACTTCCGCCACAATTTCCTCAGGAAAAACCAGTGATTAGTGTTTATCCACCAATAAGACATCACTTAATGGATAATCAAGGACTATATGTCACCTCTCCATTAGTAAACAATGTATGTATATGCTATAGTTTATTTCAGAATAATCTAACACATTTATTACATTTTTATTATTCTAGAAATCTGAAGTGTACTGAAATTTTCATTTTGAAATTAGTAATCTTAACATTTCCTTAGACAATACTGTTTACTTAAGCCTATGACTTGAAAGTTTTGGATACGATGTGGTTGATTAATTGTGGCAAGTTGCAACTTAAATATACCCTTAGTATTTATTTACCTCTGAACAATCAAATTATTGTAAAGTGTGAAGTATGAGAATATTTAAGCTCCATTATTGAATAAATAGACTTTTAACCTGATTTTTGAATTACCAAATATTTACAGTATTGATTCTATAAGAAAGTGTTGTAAGTCATGGATTGTTAGTATGTTGACACAGTGCTCTTTGCTTTTCTGTTTATTTTTTCTTTATTTTTATTTTATGTGTATTAGTGTTGTGCCTACATGTAAGTGCACCACATGTGTGCAGCACCCACAGAGGTCAGAGCAGAGAGTCACATCACCCAGAACTGGAGTTAGAGAGGTTGTGAGCTGCATGTAGGTGCTAGGAACCGAACCTGGGTCCTCTGGAAGACGTGAAATGCTCTTACCCACTGAGCCATCACTCCAGTCCTCTTCTCTTTATCCTTGCCTGCAAACATTCGTTAAGGTTTCAAATGACATTTACTGCCATGAAATTTTGTCATCCTGTTTTGAGCGGGTTTGTATCATTATGTATTACTTTACTTTCAGTTTACCATGCACTCAGATCTTGGAAAAATTATTCAAAGTCTTTTGGATGAGTTCTGGAAGAATCCTCCAGTTTTAGCTCCTACTTCAACAGCATTTCCGTAGTAAGTATATTTATAGTATGTAACTTTAGCACATATTTTCATTTATCATAATTAAGATATAGTTTAAAGGAATTGATGTTCAAATCAAAGACAGCCTTCTGATTGCCACGTACTCACCTTCATGCCCATCAGGCCAAAGTTTGCAGAGGCTGCTGCGTATTTCTCTTGTAGCTGTTTATTCGCCCACCTTTGTGATAATAGACACGGTACTATTCTTGAATGTCATTTTGGCCATTACCTATAGACCTCTTACTATGGTAGATGAGGGTTTTACTGTCACAAAATTTCCCTTCTCCTCAGTGAAATTACATCATGATTTCTACATAAGTCTATTTGGTGTGTTTGTTACATGACTCTTAAGTAGTGGCCATTGCTGAGCCAAGTGTGTTTTTTATCCCATTTTTGTTCATGTCATACCGGGCAGGTAATCTCTGAGTTCTGTGTTTGGTTGTTTGGTTGTTTTTCCTCCCCTCCTTTCCTTGTTAGTTACACCCCATTTCTGTCACCCCGGTCTCATTCAGTAAGTTTCCTTTGTTGTCTTCTTGACATTTCCTTTGCTGTTTTCATATAGTGGATTATTTGCTTCTTAGCTTTTCTAAGTCTCTTTTTAAGGTTGTCTCCTAGTATCTTGGTTTACTATCTTCCTATATAATTTCCTGAGTAAAGCATTAGCATGAACAACAAATCATATTAGAACTTGTACTTAAAATAGTGAAGTGTGGGTGTGTGTCATAGGGGTATGAGACCTGAGCCTGTGGCCTTGCACTTGTCAAGCAGGGGCCACAGAGCGCCATCCCCAGCATATTTTAATCTTTTATTTTAAGACAGGCTCACACTCAGGTACCTAGATTTGCTTGGAACTTACAATGTAACCATTGAAGTTAGGATCTCTGTCTTGGTCTCCTGGGTAGCTAGAATTATAGGCCTGTGCCACCATGCTTAGATGTTTCTCTTTATGAGTCTATAGTTAGGTTAGGTACTAGTGGTAACTACTTTGTTCTTCCTTTTTCATTAGTTGGTGTGGCTTTAAGAAGTGTGATTGAATAGTATGGAAACTCACCTAATTCTCTTGTCTGGCAATTTTTGTTAGCCAAACACCAAGATTCTAGCGGAGGCTCTCGGCTCTTATCACTGACGGCAGCCTGAGTTTCCTCACAGCATATCACATGGAGAGAGGTCAGACCAGCCAAGCAGAAGCTGTGCTGCCTGTTTAGCTATGGCTGTGGGTGTTGTGCGCATCATTTCCGCTGCCTTTTAAGTCTGAAAAGGAAGAAGAAACAGACTTCATCTCTCACTAGTGTGGCAGAATTTAAGAAAAGCATGTGTTTGTGGGAAGTGTGCCCTGGAAATCTTTCAGTGACTATTTTAAAAAGTACAGTCTGCCACATTTCTGATCGTAAGAATTCACCTATATCCTATACGCAAAAGTATATTCACTGTCTCTCACACAAGAACTTCCGTAGTTTAGTATAAAATAGACTCATGCTCATGTTCAGGTATAGAGGAGGTTTTTCAGCTGTGTTCCTTCAGAACATCTCTTAAACCGAAGAAGTATGGATTAAAATAACAATATTGCTGCCCCACATATATCCAGCATGCAGTGGTAGTAGATCACTGTAGACTACTCTACTCACAAGGGAAAACAGGAATTCTGAAATCCAGCTGGGCTCAGTGTTTTGATAGAGCCTTGGTTTTGCTTTGTGGAATGACAGTAGAATAAAATTTGGTTATTGATTTTGCTTTTGGATCGTTCTATTAGATACATACCATGATCTAGTGATTCACCTCAAGTACAGTTTTGCTTTGAATATGTGAGGCCTGAGATTCCATCGGAAAGATAAAAGGAGGGTCACCGGAAGGAAGGAGAAAAGTGTGAGATGAAATTAAAGCCCATAAAATAATTGTCACATTATAAAAGACCAGTAACAAGATGCATTTCCATGAAGGTTCATAGTAACAGAGATTAAATTTAGAAGTTGTAAGAGATCAGAAATTAAATGACACCAGATATATTTTCTTTTTTAGTGTGTTTGTGCATCTGTACATGTGCTTGTGTATGTGGGGTCAGAGGTTGATGTTGGATGTCTTCCTTCACTGCTAGTCTTACTCTTTTGAAACAAAGTTTCTCCATGAGCCTTGAGCTCATCAATTGGCTAAGCAGGCTCCAGGGATCCTCTTGTCTCCATCTCCTACCCATCTTTAGTATTGGGGTTGCAGATGTGTGTCTCCATGACCAGCTTTTAAATGGGTGCTAGGAATATCAGCATAAGTTCTCACACTTATGCACGCCATCAGATATTAGAGATTAGATTAATGAGATTAGAATCTAGAGTACATAGAATACAAAGTGCACAACTGAAAATTTGCAATGTACTAATTGTCTAATGTGAAGGCATATTAAAGCTGTTTGTCATTTTTTAAGTCTCAAAATTTATCTTCCAATATACATCTTGAATCTCTGACACTGTCTTCTTATAACTTTTTCTGTTAGTTTTGTCATAACAATGAGCAGAGTAACTCACGCAATTTTTTTGTGGGGAGGTATGGCCCCAGGGATCAAGCTCAGAGCCAAGCTGCCGGGCTCGGGCTGAATTGCTAGCATCTTCCTGTTTTTAAATCTTGAGACAGTGCTGCACTATTACTCAGGCTAGTCTTGAACTCGTCGTTCTCCTGCCTCAGCCTCTGCGTTCCTAGGATTATAAGCCTGCACCGCCAGCCTAGCTAATGCAATTATTTCAGTCCATAATTTTTACAATCTGCAGCGGGTAGAACTTTTTTGGGGGAGCACCTGGAAATGAAATTCTACCCCCTACCCCACCCCTGAAAAGAAACTCTAAAGCATGGGAGAGAGTGTGAGACGAGCAGGAGTGAGAACAGAAGTGCTCTCATGAAAGAGGAAAAGACGGAACGCAGAAGGAGGCAGTTGGCTGCAGCCTGCTGGCTTTTGTATGGTCATCCGAAGGACAGCTTGTCGGTTTGGAAAGTTCACAATGTTCTTGCAATAACGTGGAGGGAGAAACTCTGCCTAGGGAATGAGGTGGTCTGTGTAGAGGTTCTGGACAGTGGTAAAGGTGCTGCCTGGCTTTGCTGCTGACTGTAAGACACTGTGGCAGGACAGAGATGAGTTAAAGACCTGCTGAATGTATCAGAGACAAGACTCTGTGATTTCAAATCTTGTCTCCCATTCTATTTTCCCTAAGTCTCAAGAAAAACAAAGTTCAAACCCCTTTGATGGGTCTTAACAATGGACCTCGGATACAGGCAGTGCGTTAGCAATTGTCCAGTAAGGAAAACATCTTCTAAACACGTTAAAAGCATTGTCTCTCAGCAGCCTTACTGGAAGCCTCATAGATATATTTCAGACCTTGGTTTGTTTGCTGTTGTCTAAAAAGTAAAGAGGCCGTTAGATCTTTAAACATCTATAGGTCAGAAGCAGGTGGGGGAAAAAACTAACTAGCAAAAATAGCTGTGCTTTTTTTCTGTGTATGCTGGGAGTTGACACCAAGGTCTGTGTGTGCTATCCTGACTTTACCACTGAGCTGTGACCCTCGCTCACTCTTCTTTCTCTATGAAATTCCTTCTAAGTCTGATATGGCATCTCTTAGAGTTGTCTGGTTTTCTTATTGTGCATTTTAATATTTTCATTTATTCTAGAAATAGTATTTTGACAAATACTGCAAAATTGTCCTTTAACATAGTTATTATACCAGTCTTTACTTACATACACAATGCCATTTATCCATGCCTGTTTCCAGTATGGGATATTGTCAAAATAGATATTTGCCCATTTTGTAAGCATAAAAATTGTTACTTAATTTTAGTTGTTACCTAACAGTTAAATTGAGCACCATTTGCTGTTTTTAAGATGCTTAATTTTATAGAGGTTATATACCATTCTATCATCCACTTGTTAAGTTGTGGAAAATTCTTTATGTATTAGTGAAATTGTCCTATATGTGATATGACTTTCAGTTGTTTTCACCTTAATTTATGTTAGTTAGCTAGTTGAAGGTGCTGGGGATAGAGCCCAGAGCTTTGGCCTTGCTAGGAAATGTTCTACCACTGACCTTTCTTTGTGTTATAGTGGGCCTGGTGTTTTGGTTTGGTTTGGTTTCGGTTTTTCGAGACAAGGTTTCTCTGTGTAATAGTCCTAGCTGTCCTGGAACTTGATTTGTAGACCAGGCTGTCCTTGAACTGATAGAGATCTGTCTGCCTCTGCCTCTCAAATGCTTCGATTCAAGGTGTGAGCCACCACCGCCGGGCTTGTTTTGTTTTTGCTAGTGTAAAATTTGTCATTATTTTCTCTTAAAACTTTTGAGTTTGGAATTACAGAAATTCCTTCATACTTTTCCCACTTTAAGGTTGAAATACTCCAAAGATTTCTTAGTTCAAGATTTTAAAAACTATGTATAATCCTTGATCCATTAGCTTTTATCCTATTATGAACACTTGGCTCTTACTTTTTGCCAAACATTACCACACTATTTTTCAACTGCTCTGTTTCTACTTGTAACCATAACAACTTTTTTCGTATATTTTATATTTATTTCAAAATCTTCCTAGCCACTCACCAATGGCATGCTTTAATTTTTTAATTAGTAATTAAGGTCCTATAATTTATTTTGCTGTGTGGAAGAGGTAATATCTCTTTATTTTCCTTTCTTGGATTATTTTCTTTCTATTCTTGCACATTTTCCATGTTTTTAATGGAAAAATGTAAGCTTTTAGTGTCACTAGGGAATACTTCAAAATCCATAATGGATGTTTTCTTCTAATGTCCAACTCAGGTTAATTTCTATTATTAAAAGAAATTATAGTAGTTCTACAAAAATATACCAGTATAAAGTGAAATAGTTTAGCAGTTATTATTTAGTATTATCTCCAAAATATACCTGTAAGTCTCTTTTCTTTTATATGAGAATGACTGATTGATTGATTGATTTTTAACTCAAATGTTTGCATTTAGATGAATTTTCAGTGTTTATTTATCCTGAAGTACTCCTGATTGTTTTATAATTTGATTTCTCCACAATTTTTCGTTCATTTGTTTTTTGAGACAAGGTCTCTCTATGTAGCCCTGTGATCTACAACTCTTGGCAGACAGGATGGCATTGAACTCATAGAAATTTGCTTGCTTTTATCTCCCTGGTACTGGGATTAAAGGTGTGGGCCATTGAAGCTGGCTTCTTCTCACTTTATGGGGAGGAAAGAGGTTCATTTTAAAACATCTTGTTAAAATAAATATTGTTAAATTACTTTCTCATTAAGTCCCAACTAAGTAATGATTTGCTGCTCTTTAAAATATACATTTGTGTTTACATATGAATCTGCTTGTAATGTTTTAAACATTTTAGTAGCTCATGTATATAATTTTCCTTTCAAAATCTCTAGGAAAACAGTCTTCAACTTTAAGGTAGATTTTGCCCAACATCAAAAGCCACTTAGCAACATCCACTTGCATAAATACTCTGGATAAAATACTCTCTATAAAGAAACAAAACTAAATGATGCCATTGGAAAACTGAAAACTCTATATGACATATATGACTTTTACAGAGAGCAATTGGATTGTTTGCTTTCTGTAGCATTCTTTCTTTTTATAGAAACCATACTTTATTTTTCAGGTGCTTATAGTTTATAATTTATACAATTTAATTATAAAATCACTTGCCAAAAGAAATTTCCAAATGTGGAAATGCATGGCCATTGTATTTAGCATGATTTAGGGATAATTTCGCTCCTAATATCCTACCTAATGATCTTCTCTTTCTTTCTTCAGCCTATACAGTAATCCAGGTGGGATGCCTCCTTACCCTTCTCAAGGTTTTCCATTTCTTCCTCCGTATCCTCCACAAGAAGCTAACAGGAATATCACATCTTTGTCTGTAGCTGACACTGTTTCTTCTTCAACCACAAGTTACACCGCAGCCAAGCCAGTGGCTCCTTCATTTGGCATCCTTTCCAGTCTGCCGCTACCTGTTCCCACGGCAGACTCTTCAGCACAGGTTGGTATCTTGTGGAGTCTGTGTTCTGTACCTGTGAAGTAGGTATTCAGTTAGCAGGCATTTAGTATGTCCATCTACTGAGATAGGCATGAAACAAAGATTAAATCATACTTGTCATCTCAGACAACTCAAAAAGGTAACCAATAAAGAATTGCAAATGTAGAGCTTCTAGACAGAGAGAGTCTAGATGTGGGAGACAGCTGAGTTCATTGCCCCCCCCCCCCCCCCCCCCCCGAGACCAAGTAGCAGTAGTAGGGAGATAATGTCATTCCAGTTTTGACTTTACCCCAGTGCTTCAGACTGTGCACATAGTCGATGCTCAGGAAAAATGAGGCAGATAAATGGATGGATGCATTTATGCCTGAGGCCAGATTTCTAAAGGATGGTTTTAAAATATTGAGGATAACAAGAGGGTACATAAAGTACTAGGTAATTGGTTACATTGACAGAGGCCTTGCACTATATGACAAGTGGCATGGAAGTAAAGTTGCCTGTAATAGCTCTCTCTAGCTGTCATGTAGTGTATATTGGACAAGGCACAGGACGTGATTATATAGGAGAGGCAGGTGTCAAATTAAAGAGGGCCTATTGGAGCATGCTGAAGTTTTTCAGCGTTTTATTGGCTTAAAAATTATATGTTCATAAGTGAAACTGGTACCTGTTGTCATGTAAAAATATTATAGAAAAAGAAACCAATATTTTGTGCATACAGTATTTCTGTAGATTTGGAGGCTAGAATAATGGTTCAGGCATTAAAGGCCTGTGCAGTCACAAGGAACTGAGTTCAGGTCCCCATCACATACCATAAAAATCCAGGCATAGTATTCCATGCCTGTAATCCCAATACTGGGGAGTTAGATACAAGATTTCCTGGGGTTTGCTAGCCATCCAGATTGGCCACATAATGAGTTCCTGCCCGTACGCCCTCCCCAAACCTGGCGCCAAAAAAAAGGGTAGAGAACTGATTGAGAAAGACACCCAATGTTGATCTCTGGCCTTCACACACATACCTAACCTGTACTCACATGTACACACACAAACACAAATATATACAAATATGTGTATGCATATACATTATGTTCAACATTACTGATTTTACAGTTTAGAATTTTAAAAATACAGACCTGAACAGATTTTGTTTTTCCAAAATTTTTTATCATTGTTTTAATAAAGATTATGAACAAACTACCTTTTATTTGGTTTTTTGAGATAGGGTCTCACTAGGTAGCTCTGGCTTTCCTGGAACTCACTATGTAGACCAAGCTGGCCTTGAACTCACTGAGATCTGCCTGCCTCTGCCTCCTGAGTGCTGGGATTAAAGGCATACCCCACCATAACTGGCAACAAACTATAATTAATATCTAAAAAATTTTGGGGAAAAATTTGGGGTATTCTAATGCATAAACCTCATAAATACTCAAATTGGTACTGTGTTCTTTATCTACCCTACTCTCTTATTTAACTTAAATATGTAACTACTCAGAGTGCTGGCAGTTTACTAATTTACGCTTGATGTCTTTACTTGAAAGAAGTATATTCATTTACATCTATGAAATCCACAGATAATTCTCTATACCTGTTGTAGATGCTCTCAAGAGATATATTTTGTAATCATACACTTCCACACAGCCTAATGCAGGCTCTTCTAAGGCCCATACTCCCTCCCCATCAAAACAGTGTAAACTCCTATGTATAACAGTACATTGAGGATGGAGGCACATGTATGCATCTCAGCCCTCAGGAAGAGAAGGCAGGAAGATGAGTTCCAGACTAGCCTGGACTAGTTAGTGAGTTCAAGGTCAGGCTGAGCTACATGGTAAGATCCTCTAGAGAGAAAATCAAGAAGAACAAGTAAAAGTGCATTACCAGACGGATGTAAAGGAAATACATGTGCATGTGAAGGGCAAAGATGAGATTGTGATATGAAAGCACTAATCGATGCAGTACTTTAAAGTTTATATAAGATAAATGGGACCAGTCCAAAGTATAGCTGAGATTTAATATTCTTCAAAACTCTTCTTTAGATTAACCAAAATGGTTTTGGTTATAAGATGCCGGATATCCCTGATGCATTTCCAGAACTTTCAGAACTAAGGTAAAAAACCTGAAGAGTAAAGATGATCTTGTCTATTTTATTTATAGTTTCATATTCAAATTTAAGTAAAATGATTCAAAATTTTTTCACTGTTCCTTTGCTTTGGTTGTCTTAGTGGGTAAGTGGTATAAATCAGCTTTAGGATGATAAATTGTAGCATGACTTGTTTATATCTAGGGATTGCTCTAGATGCCAAGAATGATGTAATAATTACAAAGATAACAAAAGTTCTTTTCCTTCACTGTAGCTTGCAGTCTTGGAGAATTATTTATGAATATATTAGATTCTGATAATTTCAAAATAGATCTTTCATTTTTCCTTTAGTAAATTAATGTTGTATATAGATGAGTAGACTAAAGTTATGATAATAAATTTGGCAAACTAGTTTTAGAGCTAAATTTTTACTCAAGTTTATAGCAGATAAGGTGGCAGGATTCAAGTTTAAGGTACTATTTTTCATATAACATAAGATGTGCTGCAAATAAAGCAATTTTTGGTCCCTCCATTTAGTGGGGTATCCCATGTACCCCACTAAGGATTTATAATATCCATGAGGCTACTATTAGTAAGACCATTGAATGCAGTTAAGAATTACACAGATTAAAGTTTGTGAACAATTCTGTAATTTTAAAAAACAAACTTTGACATTATTTGATCCTGTATTTTAATTCATGGGTAAACATCAGAAATAATTTTTAAAGAATGCAAGTCCTAAGACAGAAAAGACATATTACATGTATTTTATGGGGTTTGATAAACATTATAATGCTCAACTGCCAAGAAATAAGACTATCTATTTTTAAAATACTGTCTTTTCTCCTTTTTAAAAGTTGACCTACTATAAAAACTTATGAAAACATCAACACTACAGAAAGAAAAAGAAGAGTGTGATCGACCTCCATATTCCTAATCCTCCCCGTGGTTCTGACCCTTGTTTCTCATGCTGCCCTGTCCAGCTCTGTTGGGTGACTGTGGACATGAATCAGACTTGCTCTCCAGGGCTTGTTCAGTTTCCTTTTTTTTTTTAAAGCACTCCAGTGGGCTCGGCCTCCCATGTCAATCACTAGTTAAGACAATGCCTTCTCGGCTTCCATGCAGAGCAGTCTCACAAAGGCATTTTCTCAGTGGAGCTATCCTCCTCGGATGACTCGAGCTTGTGTCCCATAAAAGTAACCATCACACAAGTCAGATTGGAAAACTGCACATTTGTCGCCATGGAGAAAAACTAGATGACTGGTATTTATTAACAGTTTGCTTTTTCTTTTGTCTTTAGTGTCTCGCAGCTCACAGACATGAATGAACAAGAGGAGGTGTTACTAGAACAGTTCCTGATGTTGCCTCAACTAAAGCAAATTATTACTGACAAGGAAGACCTAGTAAAAAGTATCGAGGAATTAGCAAGTATGTTTCCATTTGCTTTAATTCACAAGTCCTGAGAAAACTGTGATCTGTGCTGGGAAATAAGCCAGAGATTTATCTTACAGGAAATAATCTCCTTTTGGAGCATACCTTGGAAACCAAAAGGCAAACTGTTTTAGATAAGGTGAGTTACTGGTCATTTTTTTAAGACATTTTTACAGTCTGAACATCAGATGAAACAGCAATCTTATGTTTTCTTTTAGTATGAATTACTTATCCAAATGAAATCTACCTTTGAAAAGAAGATGCAAAGACAGCATGAACTCAGTGAGGTATGACTGACTGCTTATCTCTCTTCCTCAGGGGGCTGCTAGTCTGCGGGGGCTTGGTCACTTCCCTGCTTTCACTTCCTCAGAGACAGTTATTACCACCTGACTTTATAAAGCTGAAACCTGATGTCCATGCAAGGGGTATCTAGTTCCAAAACCCACAGAATACGAAAAGCCCCAGCAAATACAAATTAGCAAAGTAGTATACCTTATAATAAAGCCGAGTGACAAAAGGAGAACTTTAAATGACTTAGACTTATGTAAAGTTAATCTTTAAAAATAAAAAAGTAGATGTAATTATTGTAGCTCATTCCAGTAAGAAACATTGTAGTTAATAATAATCTATTTCCCTTAAAATTGAATTTTGAAAGGTAAAGCCAATGTAATATAAAACAGCCAAAAAGAGACAAAGGAGAGCAAAAATTTATAATGAGCTTTGCATAACATCCTTTAAAATAAAATTAATGTAATAAAGGTTTACATTGAATAGTTAATATATTTCTGGTACTGAAGTAATTTACACATATTTACCCAGTATTACCCCAGACTTTATGAGGAAACTATTACTTAATCATATTTCTATTTTTCAGGTAAGGAAATTGAAACACAGAGAGGTTAAATAGATTCCTTGAGGTCATATGATAGGAAATATTAGAGTTGGGAGTTCAACTTAAGCCGTCTGTCCCCTCCCAGGAAATCTGAATACCTGAAACACTCAACCAACACACAGGAGTTTTCACAGCAGTCAACATCATTCTTTTATACTAGCTCTTACTAACTGCAAATGCATAGTGTCGGAGTCCAGCTCTGACCTGTCTGAGGGTTCTGGGGGATGCGAGAGGAATGAGGAAGTATTAAATATGTAGCCCTAAGTTTCTCCAGTCCCATCTGGCCCTGCAGTCCTGCAGCCACTTATAAAATAATCACTCAGAGGTTTAATATTACTTGCAAATTATATGGCCTGTGGCTCAGGCTTCTCACTAGCTAGCTCTTATAACTTAACCCACCCCAAACTATTAATCTATGTATCACATGTTCTGTGGCTTTACCTGTGTCCCATTACATATTGTTCCTTGGACGGCGCTTTGGTGTCCCTTGCTCTCCTTTCTCCTTTCATTATGTTTCTTGGAATCCTGCCTGGCTCCATCCTGCCCTGCCATAGGCCAATGCAGCTTTATTTATTAACCAATCAGAGCAACACATATTCATAGTGTACAGAACGACATCCCACAGCATAGATAGAAAGGCAGAGGAGAAGATAAGAAAGACAGAGACACAGGAAAGCCTCGGAAGGGCAATACCCACTCGCCTCATCCTTTATTCTAATGGGCTTTTCATATACTGCCAAGGGGAGAGGTAGAAGACCCCCCCCTGTCAAGATCAAAGGACACTGTACAGTCAAGTGTAGACCCTTCAAAACACCTGGTAACCACGCCCATGGCCAAATTGTCTCATTATGCAACCCTGCTGGGTAAAGCAAGCTCAGATTCTCTGTCCTTGAGTAAGGTCTTACCAGTGAGCCTCTGTGGACCCCCACAACATAGAATTCTTTTAATTGAAATAACCACTAGAAAGCTCCAGTGAACATCACACTTAATCAGTGTATGTTAGAAACACCCTACCTGTTGTCTGTCATTGCTTGGGAAGGACTCAACACTAGTAAGTCAAGGGAGGACGACTCACACTATGAAGAACAAGTAAACAGTTGTTACCAGAAAATAAGCGGAATGTTAGAGAAATGGAAAACTTTTCTCTTTCATTTCGGCAATTAATGTTGCAAAATGAGGTATGGACAAACAGAAAAACCTCCATTTACAATAGAAGGAAAACTGTAAAGTTTTTAGAACCCCCTGACATAAGTTAGGAAAACTGCTAATTGACATAAAAGAATACTTCTATTCTCTAGTTAGAACAGCATAAAATATCAATGGAATGAAAGAGTATTCATAAGATTTGATTCTTAATATGACTTAAAAATCTGATATTTCCAATCAGTCTCCCAAATATGTCTTTAAAATTTTTGACAGATTTTTTAAAAAAGTCTGAATGGATTAAAGTAATCAGGAAGGAGTTGAACAAAGAAAAGGAGTGCAAAAACATGCCTTCTTGTCTATCACAATATACTGTGTAACTTCATTTTAAATGATGTAGTAGTTTTGTAGGAAGATGAAATATAGTTGTATGGAACAGGTTGCAGTTCAAAAATAGGTTCATGTGTGTGAGTAATAACTGGAAAAACTTCAGGATTCAACAAATTATGTAATTGTTTATCAGTTTAGTGTCCAATCAGAAATAGTCTTGAGTCTTTATATCAAACCTTATAAAGGTCATAGTGTAGAAAGATACTACACATATAGTTTGAGTAGAAAGTATAATAACCAGTTAATTCCTAGAAGTTTTTTAAAAAGATTTTTATGTGAAAAGCCCAGTTTTCCAATTGGAAAAAACAAAAGCATAGAGGAGAAAATGTTCACATTTAAATATATAAATTTAAAATTTATATGTACTAAAATAAAATTGGAAAGTGAAGTTTTTTTTTTTAAAGAACATGTGTATAATATGGACAGCACAGATATTGCCAGTGGGTAGTAAAGAACAAATGAGAAACTAGGAAACCCAGCCAAGGAAACCCAAATGTCTCATAAAGAAGTCTGCTTTTGAGCTAAGAAGTAGAACACTTACTGAGCCTTTGTAAAGATGCACTTGCAACCCCGTCACCAACACAGTTTTGCTTTAACACCTTTTCTTACTCGTGACATTTACGTACGAATTGTTTGAAGTGATCCCCCGCTCCCCCCAGATAGGGTTTCTCTGTGTAGCCATGGCTGTCATGGAGCTTGCTTTGTAAACTAGACTGGTCTCGAACTCAGAGACCCACTTGCCTCTGCCTCCTGAGTGCTGGGATTAAAGGTGTGGGCCACCACCTCCCGGCTTGAGATGATTCTTGAAATACTTAAAAATATAAAACAAAGAAACCTTTCACTTCCTGAGTTCCTGGAAATGTGCTCAATAAAGATTTTCTAGTGATGGTGAAGCATGCTTAAAGTATGAAAATCAAATCAGTAGACTTCTGATTACCTGTCTCCATCTTAAGCAGTGTGTGCTCCAATGCCTGGTGCATAGTTGCTAACAAATATATATTTAATGAATAAGTAATGGAAATATATTGTTAACTGTATTAAATTCTAGTTTTTCTTCTCAAACAAGAAGTGTGTCACACTTATAAAAATAGATAACATGTGGGTGATAAGGAAATGTTATTTGTTGTACGTACCTGTAACGGTACCTCAATAATGTACCACCCACAACACTCTAGAATGGCTATTAAAAATAGTTTAAGTTTCTTCATTTAGGTCTATAATCCAATTAGAGTAAATTTTTCCCTAGACATTTCTTTTTCTTCTTTGGAGAACTCTGTTCAGGTCCCAGGCCAATTTATTGAATGGGTCGCTTGTTTGTTTTTGACTCTTTCATTTTTGAGCTCTTTATGTGAGAAGTACAGCTGGCAAAGATTTTTCTCTCATTCTGTGGGCTTTCTCTTTACCCAGATGATTATTTCTTTAGCTATGCAGAAGCTTTTTAATTTTGTGTGCCTGGCAGTGGTGGTGCACGCCTTTAATACCAGCACTTGGGAGGCAGGCAGAGGCAGGCAAATCTCTGTGAGTTTGAGGCCAGCCTGGGCTACAGAGTGAGGCGCAAAGCTACACAGAGAAACCCTGTCTCAGAAAAAAAAAAAAAAAGAAAGAAAAGAAGCTTTTAATTTTGTGATGTCCCACTTGTCAAGTTGTTCGCCTTAATTCTTGGGCAAATAGAGTCCTATTCAGAAAGTCCTTTCCTACACTGATTATGTAGGGCTCTGCCTATGTTTTCTTATGGCAGCTTCAGTGTTTCAGGTTTCAGGTTTAGGTCATTGATCCATTTAGAGTCAGTTTTAGTGCAAGGTGACAGTTATTGGTCTAATTTCATTCTTTTGCATGTGAGCATCCAGTTTTCCCCACACCGTTTGTTGAAGATGCTCTCCTTTCTCCAGCTTCTATTTTTGGTAGCCTTGTTACATGTCCATGTTTACATCTTGGATTTTGTTCTGTTGGTCCATGTGTCTGCTTTTGTGCCAATATCATGTTTTTATTACTGTGGCTCTGTGTACTATATCTTAAGATCTGGAATGAGAATCCATCCAGCATTGTGCTTTTTTGCTCAGGATTGTTTTTCATTGTCCAGGATCTTTTGTGGTTCTATATGAATCTTAGTTTAGCTTTTTTCTATACCTGTGAAGAATAAATAGGGATTTTTAATGGGATTGCATTGAATCTCTAAATACCTTTTGGCAAAATGGTCATAATTTTCATAATTCTACCAATCCATGAGCATGGGATATATTTCCATTTTCTAGTGTCTTTTTCTGTCTCTTTCCTTGGAGGTTTAATGTTTTCATTGGTTAGGGTTTTTTGTTTCGTTTTGTTTTGTTTTTTTCTAGATATTTTATTGTTTTGAGGCTACTATGAATTGGAGCGTGCCCACGATCTCTTTGTATGTTTGTTGGTGGTATATAGAAAAGCTACTGATTTGTACAAGTTAATTCTATATCCTGCCATGTTTCTAAGTTTATCGTTTCTAGAAGTTTTTTGATAGAATTTTTGTTATCTCTAAAGTGTAGTATCATGTTATTTGCAAATAGAGATAGTGTGACTTCTTTCAATATTTGTATCCCTTTAATTTCCTTCTCTTGACTTACACTGTTCTACTAGGATTTCTAGCACAATAGTAAAAAGGAGTAGGGACAATGGACATCTGTCTCGTTCCTGAATTCAGTGGGGTTACTTGAAGCTTTTCTCTCTTTCAGATGATACTGTGAGTTTCTGGTATGTAGCTTTTATTGTGTCGGGGTATGCTCCTTCTAGCCCTACATTCTCTAGGACTTTTATTATGAAGGCATATTAGAGTGCTCCTTCTGTTTCATTCTTTGAATAAGGAAAGATTAGCTGTAGGTCTTCAAATGTCTTGTAGAATTCTGCTGGGAACCCATCTGACTCTGGACTTCTTTAGCTGGTAGGGTTTTTATTTATTACTTTTTTTTTTTTTGTAGACATCTTGGTTTAATTTTGGTGGTTTGTCTGAATCTAGAAATTCAGCCATTTCTTTTTTTCTAGCTTAATAGAGTACAGGTTTTTAAAAGTATTCCCTGATAATATTTTGAGTTTGTTTGGTGTCTGTTACAATGTTTCCATATTCATTTATGATTTTGTTAATTTGTATCCTCTTTCTTTCTTGTATAGTGGGCCAAGGGCCTGTCAGTCTTGTTTATCTTCTCAAAGAATCAACTCTTACATTTGTTAATTCTTTGCATTGTTTTCTTTGTTTCCATTTCATTGATTCATGCTCTCATTTTTATTATTTCTTGCTATCATCTAGGTTTGAATTTGATTTGGTCTTGGTTTATTGAGTTATATCAAGTCATTTATTTGCACTCCTGATATTTTAGTGTGGGCTCTTAAAGCTGTAAATTTCCCTTGTAGGACAGCTTTCAATGTGTTTTGTTGTATTGTCTCTTCATTTTCATTGAGTTCCAGGAATCTTTTTTCTTTCTTTCTTGATTTCTTCTTTGACCCATTCATCATTCAGTAATGAGTCGTTTAATTTCTAGGGGTTTGTGTATATACTAGAGATTTATTTTGCTGTCCATTTCAAGTTTTTTAGCATTGTATTCAGATAAGATACAAAGAGTGATTTCAGTCTTTAGGGTGAGGTTTATTGTAGATAAGCAGCCCTGTGCTGCTGAGAAGCACCTGTGTTCTCTGGGGTGATACATTCTGTAGCTGTCTGTTCAGTCCCATTTGATGGATGATTAAATCTTAGGTTTTTGTGTCTGTTTATTTATTTTTGTCCAGATGGCCTGTTTGTTTGGAGAAAGTGGAGTATTGAACCACCTATTAATAATAGATTAATTGCAATTTGTGTCTTTAAATCCAGGAGTACATTTTTAATGAAATTGCTGCTCCAAAGTTTGGTACATATGTGTTTAGGATACAAATGTCTTCTAGTTAACTGTTCTCTTGAGTAGAATGAAGTGTCCTTCCTTATCTCTTGTGATTAGTTGTAATATTTTATCAGATGTTGGTATAGAGATGCCTGCTTGCTTCCTGATTCCATTTACCTGGAGTGGTTTTGTTTATCCTTTTACTCTGAGAACGTGCCTCTCTAAAGCTGAGGTGTGTTTCTCATAGACAACAGGTAGATGGATTTTGTTTTCTAATCCACTCAATCAAAAAGCCTGTGTCTTTTAATTGTAGACGGTACCACCCACAATGGGCTGGGTCCTCCACCATCAATTACTAATTAGGAAAATGCTCCATAGGTTTGCCTGTAGCCCGGATCATATGGAAGTATTTCCTTAATCTAGGCTTCTTCCTCTCAGGTAACTCTAGCTTGTGTTAAGGTGACATAAAACTAGTCAGCACAGGTCCTGATATTCTGTCTTCTCCTTGATTCTAGTTTTAAGATGTTCCTTTGATTTTTCTAGTCATTGGGTATTTTATTCCATTTGATTTCAGCTTTAGTCTTCTTCAGTGTCTTTCCTTTTCTTTCTTTTTTTTTTTTTTGTTTTGTTTTGTTTTGTTTTGTTTTGTTTTTCTGAGACAGGGTTTCTCTGTGTAGTTTTGGTGCCTGTCCTGGATCTCGCTCTGTAGACCAGGCTGGCCTCGAACTCACTGAGATCCGCCTGCCTCTGCCTCCCGAGTGCTGGGATTAAAGGCATGCACCACCACCACCACCACCACCACCACCTGGCTTCTTCAATGTTTCCATCTCCCAATTGAATTCTTTTCTCAAGTGTTGGATTGACTTTATCACTTCCACCAGCCTTATGTTTGAGCTTCCTTGTGCATCTGTGCATCAGGCCTTCATTTTCTTTGTGTTGGTTCTTTCTCTTTAAGTTCGTCAAGCTGTTTCTTTATGTCTTCTTTAAGTTCCTTTGACTTTTAAATGATGTGTCCTGGGGTTCATCTAGGTAAGTCTCATTGGCAGCCACTTCTACAGGACTTGGAGATTTGGAAAGAGGATACTGGCATGGTCTTTCATATTTTTTGTGTTTTTGTGATGAGATCTGGCCATTTGGCCTTCTTTTGTTAGTTCAAAGTCTGATATAGTAAGAGCATGTTAGAGCAGAGGGGATGTAAGTTTGGGTTTGGCTTAGAGATTGGAAATGGCTTGGGAGGAATGAAGTCAGGTGGACAGAGGTACTGGACTGGTATATAGGATGTGCCTCCTTGTCTGTGTCTGGAGTGTGGGAATAGATTTAGCCAAATGTGGTATGGAAGGACCCTGTTGGTTGGAGGGTAGGAATGGTCAGTCTTCGTGGAAGCTTAGAGATTGATTTGGGCATAGACAGGGCTGGACAGACTATGCCTGGACACTGGATGTGGGTCCTGGGCTAATCTCAGCAAGTTGTCAAGTATGTGGTGGTGGAGGGCGGGGTGTTAATATACAGACTAACCAGACTAGAGCCTAGAAAAGGATGTAGGGGATCTGGCAGGGTGGAGAGGTAGAATGAGGGTTTGTAGCAGGTCACTGGGGGGATGGCCTTGTTGGAAATCTAGAGGTGAGTTCAGGGGCAATGAGGTGTTCAAACTAGGGCACCGGATGTGGGACTTTGTCTTGATCTGGCTCTTGGAAAAGTGTGTGTGTCAATGTTTATGGTTGAGAGATTCACCAGGTGGACCCTAGAGAAGGATGGGTGCTACTGTTTGTTTTGTTAATCCAAGTTTAGTAATACATTTGTGGGGTTTTTAACCTTTGTTTGTTTGTTTGTTTGTTTATTTAAACAGGATCTTTACATAGCCCCAGCTGTCCTGGAACTCATTATGTAGAATAGGCTAGCCTCAAACTCACAGATTTGTCTGTCTGCCTTTGTCTCCCAATTGCTGAGATTAAAGGCATGTGCCTCACACCTAAGAATTTTTAATTTATGTGTATTTTATATATATGGGTGTTTTGCCTTCTTATATGTCTGTGAACCATGAGCATGCAGTGCCACAAGAGGCTAGAAGGAGGTCAGATCCTTTGAAACTGGAGTTAATCCTTGTTAGCCACCTTGTGGGTGCTGAGACTCACTCAGGTCTTCTAAAAGGGTAGCAAATGCTCTTAACCACTGAGACATCTTTTTAATCCTCAAATAATAAGTTTTTAAATCAGTAAATATGAATGCTTCAACATCATTCCTTTTCAAGATCTCTTGGCTATTCAGAGTCTAGTGAGATGTTGTATGAATATTAGGATACTTTTTCTAATGAAAGGCTCTTGAAATTTATGAAACTGCATTGATTGTGTAGATCTTTGGGGTTAGCGTTGTCATCATAACAGTATTAAATCTTGTAAGCTATGGCCACTTACTTATCCTCAGGGGTTTTTTGTGCACATTGTCTGCTTCTATAGTTACAGTAACTCCCTTCTCTTTTGTCACATTTGGTTCTTTAGAAATGAGTTACTCTCTAGCTGGTGTACTCATTAGGATAGACAAGAACAGGAATACAAGGAAATGGGGTCATTGGGTGATCTGAGTAGGTATTCTCACAATGATTTAATTCCAAATTATCCAGGATAATAATGGTTTATCAGTTTCTCATTTAATAGCTTACAGCTCATGATTTGGTTTCTTTTGTGTTTAGTATCTATACTTGCTAATTTTATGTCAACTCGACACAAGCTATATTATATTTATCAGAGAGGAGAGATTCCCCTATTGAGCAAATGCATCTGTAAGATTGGGCTGTACTCAAACCTGCAGTACATTTTCTTAATTACTGATTGATGGGAGAGGGCCCAGCCCATCGTGGGTGCTGGCTCCAATGGGCTGGTGGTCCTAGGTGCTATGAGAAAGTAGGCTGAGCAAGCCAGTAAGAAGCACTCCTTCATGGCCTCTGCATCAGCTCCTGCCTCAAGGTTCCTGCCCTGTTTGAGTTCCTGCCCTGATTTTTTCCAATGATGAATAGTGATGTGGAAGTATAAGCCAAATAAACATTTTCTTCTCAAATTTTTTCTTTTACTTTTCTTTTTTTTTTTTTTTTTTGCCTTGGTGTTCCATCACAGCAATAGAAAGCCTAACTAAGGCAGTAGCCATCCAAGTATCCGATGTGAATATTGCTTTCCATATCTCTGCCTCATTTTCCTTCTCCATAGTTTATCTGAGAATTAGAGACTAATGCAGTACTTGATTTGTTTGTTTGCTTGTTCACAGAGTTGTAGTGCAAGTGCCCTACAGGCAAGATTGAAAGTAGCTGCACATGAAGCTGAGGAAGAGTCCGATAATATTGCTGAAGAGTTCTTGGAGGGAAAAACTGAAATAGATGATTTTCTCAGTAGCTTCAAGGAAAAGAGAACAGTATGTAATACTCTTCAGTTGAGGATGAGTGACAACATAATATCAAATTTCTTAAGTATGTTCATGGGTAAAATGGTTAGCACATAACCAAGATGGAATGCTGAGTATTGAACAGACTCTGAACAGCCTCTTTGGGGAAGGATAGTAGTCCGCTACTGTTGCTTTAAACCTCTTAGTTAGGAGTACATGACCAAGGAATTTAATGATAGTATCTGTATCATTGTGTAGGAGCTGGTAAACCAGCTTAGTTTGATCAGCTTAACAGCTTTAATAGTCTCCTGAAAAACAACCTGTTTTATAAGTTGCTTAATTACAGAATAACCTATAGAGATAAAAAAAATAATAATAAAAATAGAACAGCTTCTATTCTGGTGTTTCCATTGTATTCAAGGAAAAAAATCTGCTTGATAATTTCATACTAGTTCATGTAGTCCTAAATATTTACCCAATATCTCTGAAACAATCACATTTGTTTGTTATTTATTAAGTTTTATGAAATGTTTACGCATGGGAGGTGTTTTTGTGAGTGTATGCTTGTTTGTGTGTGCCCTGTTAAAGCAGACAGGGCAAATTTTATTTAATTACCTCTATTTTTCATGAGAGACAGTTGAAATTCAGAGTTGGTTAGTAACTTGCCTGTGTTTATAATATTAGTAAGAATTTGGTTTCTGACCCATTCTATTCTATATAGCTACAATGAAGTTTTTGTTTGTTAATCTTCCATGATTAACAAGAGCAGGGTTTAAGTTCTGTGCTTTTAAAGCACAGGCATTTGAAATTAACATTAGGGAAGTTTGTGGTCAAAGATTGTTTTCAAACAAAGCTCAATGTTTTTCTGGATTCCTAAATTCTGAGGAATTATTAGCTACTTTAAATGTTAAAAACTTAAAGGAATGGTAACAAATTAAAATATTCTTACTTGGAATTCTGTCATAATGTAGGAAGTAGTCGGAAAAGTGATTGGTATTTTAAATGATTTGTCTTCTAGATTTGCCACTGTAGAAGAGCTAAAGAAGAGAAGCTACACCAGGTGATTGCAATGCACAGCCAATTTCATGCTCCTCTATAGGTAAATGGCATTCCAGCTAGTGTAGTTCTTAACAGTGCCTGTTCACACTGTCATTACAGTTGTTGTATGGTAGAGTGCTGATATTAAACACACCGCCGTGTAAGGGAGCCTCCAGCCAGTAGAAACCTTTCAGTAGTTTCTCAGTGTGGCGGTGTCCTTAAGGAAAGTTTGCATTCTCCCCTAAGGTTAGCTTACCTGTCATGTTCCTCATTCTACCACCATCTTCTCATCCATGCCCTTGGAGCCCTCAAGCTCTTTTCTTTCTCCTGTTTGTTATAGTAATGTTTTGTTTACAAAAGAAAATCCTGCCCTGTACTAGTTCTATTGGTGTGATAAAATACCATGGCCAAGACAAGTTTCAGAGTGAAGAGTTTATTTGTGTTTATGGTTCCTAAGGGAGAATCCATAATGATTCGGGAGGCATAGCATTAGACAAGCTGGAGCAGGGAGCTGAGAGTTCACATCTTGAACCACAACACAAAGCAGCAAATTTTCAGTACAGGGAAACTACCAACTCTCAAAGCCCACCCATAGTGATATATTAGCAAGGCTGCACCACCTCCTAAAACAGCTCCAAGTGTTCAGATACCCAAGCCTATGGAGGACATTTCTCATTCAAACCACCACATATCCCAGCAACCTTAAATACAAGGTTGTTGTTGAAGGAAAATACAAAGATACTTTATAGAGCCAAAAGGAAGAAGGTAGAGCCCAGTTACTAAGAGTGGAAACACTGGAAGCCACTCAGGAACCAAAACAGCTCTTCTTTCCCACTGCTGAGTCTGACTGTTGTGTTTGGATTGCTGGGATCAGACCCACGGCTTTCCATGTGTTCAGCAAGCACTCGAGAACTGACCTACATCACCAGCACTTTTTCCTTAGTAACCATCAACCATTAGTGCTCACAGCAGCTGGTGCAGAGTACTAAGAGTCTCGAGTTGTGTACAAATCCCTAGCAGAAATGGGTGGATTACCTACCCTAGCCTAATCAGCATGACTAGAGATTAGGACCACGTGGTCTTGCACCCAGCCATCTGGGCTGAAGGAATAGACTTTAAGGAGGCATATGGGAGATTCTTTGAAAAAGTGATAGACATTTCTCATCTTTAGTTCAAATTGCATTACTACCAACTCTGAATTACTTTGGATCTTACTTTCTAAATTGAGCTCATTTTTATACTTTTTGTATTCACCCCCAGCTCAAGAAATAGAAATAAATTATTATATAGGAACATACTGAAATATTTTCCTTACCCAATTCCCTCCCAGGCGAGTTACAGTAAATATAAATAAGAAAACAGCATAAAAGAATAAGAGTTTATCATCTTAAATCTTAAGTTGAAAATTTTTTTTCATTTCAGATTTTCCTGAAAACATGAATCAAGAAAGAAATGGGACACAAAACTAAGCACATTGTTTTATATTTATGACTTATGAATTGGCATTTCATGACCATGGCTGAAATCCAGATGCACTCTATAGATTGTATACACGACTGAGACGATTTTGTATAGATTAGAATGATTGCTATATTTGTTTCGAGCAATTTTTCTGCACTGTTTGCACTAAAAATGTTTATTGTTGACAAATCCTGTATTTAAGTTCCTCTGCTATTCCTGATTAAACACCTATGCATGTAATTCTAGCTAGTTTTTAATATTTTATAAAACTACTGATTAACATTTGTAGTTTTAACTTGAAGCTGCCTCATTTCTTTATCAAGAATAGTTATAACTTAGATTCTTTTCCTGTCAGCCTTGGAAAAGACCACACACACACACACACACACACCTACCTTCTTTCTTTCTAGATGATAAAACTGTCCAAGGCAGTTGGTTTCAGATATTCAGTGTCAGGAGACACCAGTCCTGCCAGTGTTCCATCTCAAGAAAGCAACCTGTAATATCTGCAGTAAATGAGTGGAGAAGCTGCTCTCTTACAGTTTCATTTTCAAACTCAAGATGCATTTAGGGAGCTCTACTGGTTAATATGCTGGTTTTGTTTTGTTCTGGAACAGGGTCTCACTGTGTAGCCCAGGCTAACCTCAAAATTGTGACCGTCTGACCTGAGTATTGGGATTATAGGCAGGTGCCACTAACCTGGTAAATGCTTTTACTTAAAAACTGCCTTTTCACTTAAACTAGTCCCATACGGACTTTCATGCTAATTAAAAAATAACTGTCTATGGGTTTTTAGTTAAATATATTTTTTATATTCCAAATGTTTAAAATGTCCTTTGGTTAAAAGATAGTAAATCTAGACCTAAAAAGTCAGTGAAATTTTAATACTTACTCTAACTTAATCTTTTCCTAAAATTAATTTTTCCTAAGAAAAAAGCTTTGTAACAAGTAATCAGTCTTACTTTTTAATGAATTTGATTTTCTAATTTGTACTTGCATTCAGCAATTTGTTTCTGTATTGTTTCACAGAATGAACCTATTAAAGTACATAAAGGAGAAATGAATAACTACATATCTGAGGTTTAGTAAGTTAGGATCTAAATCACTAAATACCTAACACTGATTTGTTCAATTGTCATTCCAAAGCCTGCATACATTACAGATTGTCTTGTCTTCATTCTTCTTACTCTACATGACTTTGTGTTTTTCCTAAATTTTTATTACCAAATATTTTCTTATTGGAAAATATTTCATGTTTGTTGAAGGCATATTCATATGGACTGTAGCGATCCAATGTGGCTGTACACCGTTATAACTGCCTGTCTTCCTGCCACTATTGCTAAGGGCATGCTATTTAATCCTCAGAATGGCCAGATGAAGGGTAAACTTGTTATTCCTTATAAGGATGTGTAGGTGAGATAACTGATAGAGTATTTATCAATTTTGTGATCAACTTGGGGGCATTCAGAGATGTCTCCTTACTGCACTGGTGTTGGAGTGGAACATCAACTACATTCACTGTAGTTGGTAGAGAATTTATCAGTCTCAGGCTAGTTGCTTTTAGAAACCAGGCAGATCCTAGAACAAAAGACAACAGACTGCACACCTTCTAGAAGATTGATTCATGTGGTCTGTCTTAATAAGCATCTACTGTGCTCACTTCGGCAGCACATATACTAAAATAAGCATCTACTAAGCACCTCCAGCACTGCAGAAAGACTACCCAGAGGAGCCCTGTGTGGTCTCTGGTGTCTGTGCTTCTTTTCCTGCCACTTCACATGCATGCACACACTGCACTACTCACCAGAACATGCTGTTTATACAGCCATGATAGTAATCCAGAGGCGTGTTTCTGTATGCTTGTATTATCCAAATTTCATTGTCAGCTAAGGAAGCAGAATTTATCCTTCAAAATTCAGAGAACCTCTTAGAATCCAAACATTAGACATACCTTGACCAGTTACCTGCTTTTAACAAAGTTGACAAACTTGTTCAGATGGCCATATTTCTTCTTTGTAAAAGTTGGCTACAGATATGAATACCAAAGATGTACTGACTACTTTATAATATAGAAGACTATAAAAGAAGGCCTAGGAATTAAGACTACCTCCAATACAATTTGTCATGATAGTACCAAGTCAATGAGGTAATAGTAAAGGCATCTATTTCAATGTTGGGTGAAAATTTCAGAATAAATTAACATTAGAGGATTAATGTCAGAATACAGAACAGAGGTTGTTTGGCTACAGTTTACATATTTAAATTGAAAGACAGATAAGATTATGTTGAAGTAAACTTATTTTTTGTTTGTTTAAGGCAGGGTCTTTAACTGAGACTACCCTCTTAACTTGCTGTGTAGCTGAAGATGACCTTGACACTCTGATCTTCTACCTCCCGAGTATTAGAATCATAAGTAGGTATCAGCAAGCTCAGTTTATGTGGATTGAACTCAGGGCTTCAAGCATATGAGTCAGGCACTCTCCCAGCTGAGTTCGCTTCAAGAATGAAAATTTGTACTGGCTAAGGGGCTCAGTGTACCAGTTTGTCATGCAAGCATGAGGACCCGGGTTCAGATCCTCAGAACCTGTATAAAAACCTGGTGCATGGTAGAACACGTCTATAATTCCATTTCTTCTACACAAGAGAGGAGGCTGAGAGAATCATTCCGGAATCTTTGCAGACCAGTTTCTATGGTGGACAGAATAGTGGCAGGCGAGACCTTGCTGCACACAGGGTAGAAGGGAAAGACAGATACCTGCTGCTCTCTCACGTCAGCATTGGAGCAGAGTTGTGCACACACGTGTGCAAATTTAATTTTAAAAAATGGTTTGGAGGTTAGTTTATTTTCCTTATTTTTAATTAAGTTTGTCAGTTGACTTGTTCAAACATGATCAAAATTCTTTCCTTTTTCATATCCAATTTAATATTACTAAAAGTAACAAGTCACTTGACTTGTAACGATTACTGGTTGGGAAGTACTGTGTCTTGAATCATTTATATACCTAAGTATTCCCTGAAGTGTTACCTTAAATAATAAAATGCTTCTTGACTGAAGCTTGATTTAGAATGAACATGTAGTACTAGAGGTTTTAGTCTTGTTGAGTTGACCACGGTTTGTCCAGGCTCCCTGGAAAGAGAAGCAGTAAATTTGTATGTAGTTTCAGTGCTAGGTTAACTTGTAAAAGAGACTTGAACACATGCTTACATTGTTTTGTAAAAGGATGAGGGGAACAAAAAGTGTGCGGCTCTGATGTTTAAGATGCCACATTAAAATTTAAAAAAAAATATATATATATATATATATATATATATATATATATATATATATATATATATATATATATATATATACTATTTGTTTTTCCAAATATATTATCCAGTTTGACACAGATGCTGGCTTTTCTTTTTCCCTTTCTTCCTTTCTTTTTTTTTTTTTTTTTAAATAGATTGTCTGCTATAAGAAATTAGGCAACAGTGTTTCTTAAAAATGGTAAGAAAGCCAGGCATGATGACACACACCTTTAATCTCAGTACGTAAGAGGCAAAGGCAGAAAGATCCCTGAGTTTGAGGGTAGCCAGAACTACATAGTTCAGATGCTGCCCACCCCCACAAGAAAAAAGAAAGAAAAGAGTCATGTTATAAAGCTGTAAAAGCCAGTCTCACTATATCCCATGTGTTTATTAGCTATTAGACTATTAGCTAAGACTACAAAAAAATGACTAAATATTCCTTATGCTTAATTGGGGAATTTCTCAACAGAAAATACTCAGATTTAACATCTAAAAGAATTATACTTGCTTTATTTTTATATTAACAATATTTTTATATTACAGGCCTTTAGTATACTAAAGTCATCTTTAAATGTGAACACTATTATACTGTATTACATTATGTGTATAACCCACACTAGAGGTTTTCGAAGTCTCTTGTCCTTTCTTAACATATTTCTATTTCCACAAAATTGAATACATTATCTGATAGAAATTTTCACATTTTAAAATACTGTTATAAAAACTAAGATTAAATTTATCTGTTTATTAGAATGTATTAATATTGCAGAATCATACAATAAGAACGTTTCAGTGTGTTCAAACACAACATTTCTCCATGAAGAGTCTTCAGATCAAAAGTTCAATTCAGATCTTGTTTTTAAGCATAAGATGGGAATGATGCTGCTCTGAATGTGCATTTTAACAGAAACTTCAGAAATGGCATTCATCAGTCCTACCATGAGATATTGCTAATGTTACTGAAAACATTAATTTGTTAGATAATTTGTAAAGAGAAAAGCACTATAACCTTTACTCCCCGTGTCTAATGGATGTGATGTAGGGGTCTGAAAAATAACCCCAAAGGCTTATATGTGAACACTTGGTTCCCAGTTGGTGGAACTGTTTAGGAAGGATTAGGAGGTGTGGCTTTGTTGGAGGGGGTATATACCATCACTGGGAGCTGGCTTTAAATTTCAAAAAGCCCACACATTCCCAGTTAGCTCTCACTGCCTCTGGGTTATGTGTGAAGACGTGAGCTGTCAAGTCACTGCTCCAGCCCCTTGCATGCTGCTGTGCTCCTCTGCCATGGCAGTCATGGACTCTGACCCCCTGACACTGTCAGCCCAAATAAACACTTTCTTCCAGTGGCCTTGGCTGTGGTGTCTCATCACAAGAGAAAAGTAACTATGACACAGAATCCCTAGTTCTTCACTCGAGTTTTTCCTTGCTGATTACAGGGTGGTGGTGGCTCACAGTTTTGGTAAGTGTAGTCTCTGAAATAGTAATAAAAGGTTGCTAAAAACTGATATCTGGATTCATATTTGAGATAAAGTGAGTGAGGCTTCTGCTTTATTAGATACTACATCCATGTTAAGGAAAAACACACATTTTAGCATTTTTCTGTGATGAAGAAAAGCAGAAGATACTCCAGAGGGGGAAATATAATTTAAAATATAATCTAATGAGAAGTTAAAATGATTATCCTACCTGAAAGATTAGTTTCAAAGCTATTTAGGAATATATTTATTAACAAAAAAGATTACTTTCAATACTCATTTTTAAAAATATTGGTAAAGGCAGAAGGAAATGTCAAATGTTTCAGAAAACAGACTGTATTTGGTAGTGAAATGAAATTCTAAGCCGTTAACAGGTGGAGGGAAGGAGAGGAGGGCTTTCTAAGTAGAGCCATGCTGTGTCAGGGAAGACATGTATGGACCACCTCGGGAGATGATGGTTTGTTTCTTCATAGTGA